AGTACCTTCATTGGGGTTATAAGTAAAAACCAGTCTAGCTACCTTATTTATAACTCTAGTTACTAAGTTTCATCCACCTTCAAGTACTCTTGCGATATGGGCAGTTCTCTAAATAAGGACCCATCTTTAGGTCCCCGATGTAGTACGGCACCCTTAAGAACGGGACCCTAAAAAGGAACCCTACTGTTGATGATATAAATCCTGCATTACCTTAAGGACCCTAAACTATGGGGATTGTGGTCTGTTCCTTACTATGGGTAATGCAGGATTTATATCATCAACCCTAGTTTAAAGAACTACCCAATACGAGCTCCCCGACGAAACCCTTCTGTAGTCAGCAACGAGGGTTCTGGGCTCCCTGCGTGAACCCGAAACCCAAAGCTCTGCAGTCGAGGGTTTGCGGTTTAGGTAGCCAAATCTTGGGGTCGAACAAATTGATGGAGAACATGGCCATAAACCATTCTTCAATGATTAGTTAAGACTTAATAAGTAGCCCTTTACAGAACCCTGAATATTAAGCTGCTACAGGAACAGATGATTAAGACTGAATAAGTAGCCCTTTAAAGAACCCTGAATCTTAAGCTGTTACAGGAGCAGACTCAGAAACCTATTCTAACTGGTAGACCCTTGGTCACCAAACTGAATAAGTAGCCCTTTAAAGAACGCTGACTTTAAGCTAAACCCTAAACCCTAAACCCTAAACCCTAAACCCTAAACCCTAAACCCTAAAACCTAAACCAATTCAAAATAGCTAGACCCATGGTCACCTGCTTGATCTCCTGAAGGCATGTCCAGGCACACTCTTCGGCCATCCTGCGCCCGATTCGAAAGGTTTCTTCAACGTGGGGTCCCTGTTGCGGTGGCTTAGGGTTTAGGGTTTAGGGTTTAGGGCTTAGGGCTTAGGGTCTAGGGTTTAGGGCTTAGGGTTGAGATTCTCTATGAGAGCGGTCCTTCGATTCAGAAACTCAGGATCGGGCCTGAGCAAAAAGAGAACAGGCATCTGCTTGGTGGGTGCTTAGAAGGTTTTGGGTGCATGGCTCAGGGATTGAAACCCACTTCATTGAAAGATCGGCAGGCTTAGCAAGTAGGGGATAATTGGGGTTATTCGCTCTGAATGGGCCTATCCCAGGGTATAACCCTGTTCATAGTTATCATACTCTACCTGTTAAGTCCCCCCGATCCTTCAAGTAAGCCCTGGACACCCTAAACAAACCTACACCCAAGCCCCAAACCCGAACGCAGCCCCCAACCACAGACCCTAAACCCTAAACCCTACCAGCACCCCCCAACTCCCTTTTGTAGAGCCTACGTACCCACTATTAAAGATCACAAGGGCCCTGTTAAAGGGGACTTGACTTGGGGGGGTCATGGTAACCCCCAAAGCCTGAAACCAAACCCGAACGCCCCCCGCCACAAACTCTAATCGCTAAGCCGAAGCCTTTTAACCCTTTAACCGAAACCCTACTTAAAAGTTCATGGGACGTAGTAGGTGGAGTTATATATACAGTCACTATAATTCTAAATACGTATAACCCCAATTAAGGTTCTTACAACTGTACTTACAGAGTCCCATGAACCTCCGAGTAAACCCTGCCTAGCACAACATAGGAAGCCTTAATGACTATCAATTGGGGTTCCTACTATAAGTAATATATGAAGCATACCCCAAAACCCTATATTGTCTAATAAGTATGATATACCCCAAAACCCTATTCTAATAAGCATATATACTCCAAAACCCTGTTGAAACTCTTAAGGCCCCTGTAGTAAGCAGGGTACCCCCAACCCCACGAACCCGACAAAGAAAATCCCAAAGGCGAAGACCCTAAGGAAGAAACCTTAGGTTCCGGTTTAGGGTTTAAGGTTTACAGGGTTTAGGGTTTCGGATCCCGAAGATCATGGAAAGTACAAGTCTTGATTGAAGGATTTTGAAAGATCTGGGTAAGCAAGGCACCCAGAACCTCACGAAAAGCTTAAACCCTAAACCCTAAATCCTAAACCCTAAACCCAAAACCCCAAACGAGAGGCCACCAACAAGGCTCCGGTCCTGCTGCCCACGTCCTGCGCGAGGCGAATCGCGGCCTCTGCAGCCGCGATGGCCTGCTCGAAAGACCTGGCTTGGGTTTCCTGGGATTTGGGGTGCTTTGATTAGGGTTTAGGGTTTAGGGTTTAGGGTTTAGGGCTTAGGGTTTAGGGTTTAGGGTTTAGGGTGGGTGTAGGGTTAGGGTTAGAGGTGCTTGGAAGGTTATAAAGAACAAGGTTTAGGACATTTTGGCATCGCTACATATTGGGACTCACGTGGATGGCTGCTTGGGGTTGAAGGGTTTTGGTTTCTAGGCTTTAGGAAGTAGGCTTCAAGGTTTATGGTTAAGGGTTTAGGATCGGGGCTTAGGGTGTCGCACTTAATGAGCATTGGGCTCTCTGGAGACCGGAAGAGCTAGCTTCACCCCGAATGTTCTTCAAGAGCTATGAAGCCTCTCGATCACCATGAAGCCCATGCTAGGTGTCGATTTCAACAGTCCCCACAATTCTTAATATTTAGGGCTCTATACTCAGCCAAAAAAGGGAACTTTGAAAATTATCTCAAATCGATACCTAGCACAAAACCCCATATAAAACCCCTAAACCCTAAACCCTTGAAACCCTAAACCCTAAAACCCTAAACCCTAAAACCCTGAAACCCTAAAACGCTAAACCCTAAAACCCCGTATAAAACCCTTGCGGAGCAAGGCTGCCTCGCTTCAAAGTGGATGGTCACGATCAGGAAATGCACGTCCAGCGCTCCGTCAATCTCCTCGCCCCTCAGGCTTGGGTTTGCGCTTAGGGCTTTGAGGGTGTTGAGGGGTTCAGGGCTTTAGGGTTCAGGGTTTGGGGTTTAGGGATTAGGGATTCAGGGCTTCGGATTTAGGGTTTAGGCCTACGTAAACCCTAAACCGTAAAGCTAGGGGATGTAGGGTGTTAATTCTTCTCCCCGAAGGCGTGGGTTGGGCCAGGAGGTTGGGATGGAAGGTTCCTCTTGGAGTTCTACAGGGTTCCTTTAAGTGTTACGGTAAGGGGCATGCTATAGGACTTTCGTTAGGGGTAGCTAGAAGGTCTAGGATTTAGGGCTTTTTGGAATGTTAGAGGAGCCCTGTATGCCTGCTTCAAAGGCTGCCGCAGCCAGAAAGACCTCTGGATCTGTACAACCGTCACTGAACCCTGAACCCGAAACCCTGTTGACCCCAAAACCCTAACCCCTAAACCCTAACCCCTAAACCCTAAACCCTACACCCTAAACCCTACCTAGGGCACCTGCTTGTCTGAAGGGCCCTGATAAGCAGGCCATGAGCGAGGCTAGAAGTGGCGCCTAAGTAGGATAAGGGTTTAGGGTTTAGGGTTAAGGGGTTTAGGGTGTAGGGCACAAAAAACCGTGGCAAAATCAACTTACCAGGTCCCCGCCCGCAACTACCCTCTCTTATGCCCGAAATACCCTCTATCAAGGACCATCGGGGCTTTCTTATCTGTCTAAAGCCGAAACGCCAAACTCGAAACCCCAAAACCATAGTAGAATTTAGGATTCTGGTGATTTAAGCTTCTGCATACAGCGCTTGCTTCTAGGGGCTCGTGACCATAAGCCCCCTCAGTATACAATCTCTGTATCGGGATGCTTTCAGTTACGTTACTGATACGTAAATAAAATACAAGGGTTCTCTGCTGCAGCCGAGGCATCGACGCTTCGTATTTCCTCTTCGCTGCTTCTGCCTTCCTTCGCGGCCGGGTTGAGGGCTTCGGGTTTGAGGTCTGAGGGTTTCGGGTTGAGGGTTTGGGGCTTCGAGGGCTGAGGGCTTAGGGTTTAGGGTTTAGGGGTTTAGGGTTTCGGGTTGAGGGCTTATGGCTCGGGTTTAGGATTTGGGGTGAAGGTTGGCGGTTGAGGGCTCGAGGATACGAGGCATCATTCTGGTATTAGCCTATGCTTGACCTGGTTGTGCAAAGCGCTGAGACCCGAAGGCACCTTGGTCACTCTATTTTCTGGTTCTAGTGCTGCTTCTACCACTACCACTGCGTCACGACACGACGACGACTTGCACTATCGTCATTACCTTTGCCAGTCAGTCTTTTGCAGTTCCACCTCTTGCTTGCTCACACCGTTTCACTAAGTAGTCGTGCTTGGGGCTGCAATTTCAATTGAGTTGGTAACCAAAATCAACTCTTTCTGGGGACGTTTCAACATTAGCCCGAAAACCAACGCATACCAGTGGTATGCATTATATCTAGACAACATTCAGACAGGTAGAACTAGGACCGTAAGATTTCAGACTCTTGCAGCGGAGGGTGGTTGTCTGCTCTGCTGTTGTACTTGTTGCTGGCATGGTCATTTCATTGTTTTTGGTTGCTGGCATGACCGTGGTGCACACCCCGGTCATCACGATGGCGGCCATCGCCTGATGATGGCGATGAAGATGAAGATGAATATGAAGAT